CTCTTCCACTTTACGTTGGTATTGTGTGTCTGTTCCCACTTGGGGCAGGGGGAGGCTTTAAGAGCTTTGCAGTGAATATTTTTATTACATCTTAAACTTATATATTTACCATGGGGCATCTTTATATTATTTTATCAGTTTAGATTATACTGTCTCTCTTGAATTCATATTTTTCAAACATTGAATCACTACGGAAAGACAAAAAGATGAAAGTGGTACTCAGCTGGGCGTACACAGCTCCAGCTGTAGTAGTACATTTTGCTGAAAATTTACATTTTGAATAGGCCTACATTTCTTAATTATAAAAATAATAGGACCTTAACAGAGAAGAAAGGACTAATTGTAAGGCTTAGAAATATAAAACTATAATGAATTCTTAGATTCTTTGATTTGGAAGAAGATACTGATTTATTTTTACTCTGATCATCTTTATTTTATATAATTAGATCCTAAAAATACACAGTAAAATTGATCTTTTAAGGCTTTTTAACTCATTAAGTCATATATACCATGAATAACTGCAAATTCTAACTTAGCTTAGTGGCTTTATCCTACTAATCATTAGAATAACAGTCACAATCCTAATATTTTCTAGCAGATCCAAATACATTTTACCAATGTAAATTGTTTATGGAGTATTAATCATTAAACTATTGTTTAATTTTTTCAGTGTTTTCCCAAAGTTCTTTTGTTAAAAATTTATAAAAAATAGCATATGTTCATTTCAAAAACTGAACAGAGAAGTATATAAAACAGAATGTGAAAACCAATCTTAATTACCATCAATACTTTCCTCCCTTCCATCCAGCCCCAGTATTCTTGCTCTCAAGAGATAATCATTTCTTTAGTATGTATCTTTTGAGACCTTCTATATATCCCTGAATTTCAGCAGTTCATTTGCAGTGGTATTGCAAATACCCCTACACTGGGTTGGTGGGGACCCCTACACTGGGTTGGTGGGGACTTTGTTCATCATTATTGACTTGTCAGCACTGCCATCAGCAGGGAGTGCATATAAGAATGAATCAGACTTGTACCTCAAGTGGCTTTTGGCATAGTGGAGGAGAGATGTATACAGTGATAACTATAATTCAAGATGAAAAAAATGTGACGGAGGAACAGATGGAGGGCTATGGGATTCATGGGGTGATATTTACCTTTGACTGGCCAAGAGCTGATAACTCAACATATATCCTGAAAGACAAGATTTAGGTTGGGGGGAGGCAAAAAGCAGATATACTGGCAAGAGAAAGGCACAGAGATACCAGGAGTTTACAAGGTTATTCCATTTTCCTAGACTGTAGCATGCATATATGATAGTAACAGCAGATAAAGAAGCAAAGGTACTTTAGGGGAGAACTCTGAACACCTCTATAATATACTTTTAAAAAATTTTAACAGAATAGTGCCCATGACTAGAGATGTGCACTAGGAATATTGAGCAGACATTAGAGGGGGTGGATGGGGGGTCAGTCACTGGCTTTGCAGTAAGTTGGAAGAACAGTTGCTATAATGAGGTATAGTGGTCCTAGAGCTGCTGCTGAAATAGGACCTGTAGGTCTTAACAACACCCATGTTCCATCAGATCTGAAAAGGCCTTGGTTATAAGCACACCTTGATTTTATGTACTAGTGACAGGGGACAAAAAAAAAACACTGCCAGTTAATTTTCAGAGACCACCAATTATAAGATACATCTTGATTTTAGGGATTATAATAATAAAGAAATGTACATCACAAAATCGGTGAAATAACGTAATTATATAGGTACAGGGAAAAGATGGGGTATGCAAGAAAGATAGGAGAGAGCTGAGAAAGGAGGGAGGATGAGATCAGAGATACAAGTGGAGAAGTAGACCTTAAAGAGGAGAGTGCATCTTCCTCCACCAGGAAATGAAGAAATGAATGAGTGGTGACTCAAGTTGAGAGGCTGAGAAGCTAAAAACATCACACAAACTTACATTAAATAACCTCCCTCTTGGTAAAAGAGGAGGCAAGGTCATTTGTAAAAAGAATGACTGGTGGGTTTGAAGGCTTGGGACCTAAGAGTGAAAAGGCTTCAGGTAAGTGGGGCATTAAAGATGGAGTATTAAAAAGTTAGAAAGGACAGAAAGAGTTCCCATCCAAAATGAGGGGCCCAATTAAGGTTGAAACCCACAGATTTATAAAGAAACCAATTGGCCCTATTTTATGACTTTGTCCAGGAACACTTGGAGAGAAGGATGGAAGAGAACATGTGGAAGGTGCTTTCTGCAGGGTAGGAGATTGGCTGGACAGGTATGGTGGAAGGACAGAGAAGCAAAATAAGTTTCTCCTAAGGGATATTGTTGATCTGGCTCGCCATGAAGTTCAGGCTAAGAAATGAAAGGTGAGGCCGGGAAGAATAGATAAACAGATGTTTTTTAAGTTGTTGGGGGGAGCGTTTTAAAGGGATTCGAGATTATAAAGAAGGTGAAGGAAAAATTATTCTGAAGAGGAGTAGTAAGGAGAAAGTTGATTGGGGGGATGTCAGAATTAAGATCATGGAGGTAGAATTCAGAAGGTTGAGTCCTGAAGATGTGTGATCTTTCTAAAACACAGATGGGTGTATATCTATCTCTATGTGGCTTGAAAACCTCTGTTTCAAGATGACGTCTTTACTACTGACAAGAACAGACAAGGCTCTTCACAAGCTGGCCTCATCCTGCTTTTCCAGGCTAATATCTCCTCATTTCTTCCTGTGAACTCCATATTCTAACCACTCTGGATTCTTCTCTGTGGCCAGAATCCTCAGGGCTTTTATCTACCTTTGGCTTTTGCACATGCTGTTCCGCTTGCATGAAATGCTCTTCCTCCTCTTCTTCGCCTTGCAAACTCCTGCCCATCTTCAAGACCTAACTCAAGATGGCACTTCCTCTGCCACTTCCTTCTGGGTCCCTGCAAACAACGCTGAGCACACTTTCATCTGTGCTCCAGCAGTACTCTCTTCAGACATCTTATGGAATTTTACCACAAGCATATTGATTTATATGTCTGTCTCCAGTAGATTGTAAACTCCTTGATGTCAGAAGCTATCTAATTCTCTTTACCCACAGTGCAAGCCTACAGTGTTAGGTACTTAATATCTACTTTTGTTGTCTTTGTTGAACTTTAAATAAATGAGCTAATCCAGTGCTTCTCCAACATTAATGTGCATTCAGATCACCTGGAAATCTTGTAAAATTCAGATTCTGATTCAGTCTGAGGTGGGGTCTGGGATTCTACCTTTCTAACAAGCCTCCAGCTGATGCCAGTGCTTCAGACTCGTGAAACTAATTGCCCAAGTAAATAGCACAGGTGGAGTAAAGGTCAGTAGGAATGTGGAAGTGGAGCAGTTATGGGGACAATCCGTTGGAAAGATCCTCAATGTGAACACCAGAGCCCTAAAAATGATGACAGAAAATCATGTAGGAAGAGCTGCTTAAATCGTGGAATCAAGCAGGAGACCACTGTGGAGGATGGTAGTTGACAAGCCTGGTATGATGTAGTTCTAGGACTTACTGTTTTAGCAAAGGAAAGGCTTTCCAGGGATGGCAGCTGCTGTGTCAAAGGATGTGCTCCATGGAGATGGTGGGGGTGGGGCAGTGGGGGCGGGGATGGTGGCATCAGGAGTGGGGGTTTGGGGTTTCACAAGAAGGGTTTGCAGCCGCTAGTTGTTTATTCCTGATAGAAGGGCATTTCTACCATCGCAGACCAGAGGGTGAGGGAAAGGAAAAGCTGCATTTTAAGGGAAGGGAAGCCGAGAGGGTATAGAACCTGACAAGGGGTCATTTCCTGATCATAACATGAAGATCCTTTTTCTTGTCTTAAAATCATAGTTGACAGAAAAAGTAGCCCTAATAAACATTCTCTTCCCACATAGTCTCACAGGTCTGGTAATGCTAAGGAGGAGTTCTGTAAACCTAATTTCTTGTAAGTCTATTGTATAGAATATGTGCTTTTTTTTTTTAACATATGGAAAAAAGCAAAAACATTTACATCTCCTCCCACTAATCCCCTTTCCCCACATCAAAGTAATTGATTTTTACAGCCTGATGTGTACTCTTCCAGCTTTTATCCATGCAAATTTATGTACACATAGGAATTTTTCAAATTTCATAATGGTATTTTCCATGCACATCATTCTGCAGATTGTTTTTGCTACTTAGGAATGTTGTAAACATCCCTCCAGGTCAATGGAGAGAGCTCTAGCTTCTTTTTTCCTGGTCATTTTTATTTTATTTTTTCTTTATTTATTTTTAAAGATTTTATTTATTTATTTGACAGAGACACAATGAGAGAGGGAACACAAGCAGGGGGAGTAGGAGAGGGAGAAGCAGGCTTCCCGCAGAGCAGGGAGGCTGATGCGGGGCTCGATCCCAGGACCCCGGGATCATGACCAGAGCCGAAGGCAGATGCTTAACGACTGAGCCACCCAGGTGCCCCTCCTAGTCATTTTTAAATAGCTGTGTATAAATATAGATGTCCCATAATTTGTTCTGCCATTCTCCCATTGATGCACAATTTGGTCATTTAAAATGTTTGCCACTACAAAATATGACCCACACACAAAAGTCCTGCTGTTACCAGTGCCTCAGTAACAGAACTCCATGATTTCAACCACCCGTATGTGTATCACAAACAACTTTTGTATCAAGGACAGCTTTCGGTGAAGCAAAGCAGTAACTAGGCCTGCACTAATATTGTAGCCACTAGTCACATTTAGCGATTTAAATTTAAATTTGCTAAAATTAAATCAAAAATTCACTTCCTCAGTCACATCAGCCTCCTTTCAGCTGCTCAGCAGCCACATGTGAGTAGTGGCTCCCCTGTCGGATAGTAAAGGCCAGACCATTTCCATCCTCACAGAGAATTCCATTGGACACCCTGGACTAGACACATAATGTTACATCATAAAGAACGTGTTTTTCAGTGGGTTAGTCTTTTAATGAGAGCACATTTTTTAAAGTACAAACTTTGTGTCTTAATTGGTTGCCCCTGCAGTTACTTCAATGAGAATCAATACCCAGATGAAGCTAAGAGAGAAGAAATTGCCAATGCTTGCAATGCAGTTATACAGAAGCCAGGTAAGGCAGCAAGCTGCCACTTTCCTCCATGGTGGAGCTCTCGGCTTCAGATCATCATTTGGGACAAGAAATCTTCTTTTACTCATTCCACCTGGGTGCCATTCGCTCTGTCCTCACCACCTTCCTGTCTAGTCACTGCCCTGTCCTGTTCAAGCAGTACTTCTTAGGGATGCAGTTCCAGTCTCCAGATCAGATGTGCACATGGAAAGTTTCCAGGGAGTGTCCCTGCTTAAGATATGAGAGACCTGGAAATTATATAGACTGTATAGATTTCTTTCTCCATAAATATAGATTTCTTTCCCCATAAATACTGTGTCAATTCCAAAATAATTTTAAAGTTTGGAATATTTAAGTAAGGCTTGTAAATAAAAAGATTTAGATTTTTTTTAACAAGTGTTTTATAATTCTGTATTCCTTTTTGAAGAAAGAATTCTTATTGGAGTTGGCTTCTTTCTCCTTCCCACGTTGTGACTTCTGCATATAGCTAGGAAAAATTAGGGGTGGTTCCATTCTGAAGTTGTATTGTTCTCATGCAAGTCAGGTGAGCCACTTAAACACACATATGACTTTTCTTCCATGTGTTAAAATATTATTCCACATTTCACAGTTTTTGTTACCAGAAATCATTCTCAGTTAAGATGATCAGTTGATCTTCATTTGGCTGGTTAATTTGATTGGCTTAAAGGCTATCTGTACAAAAGTATCAATGTTTTATCATAATTAAAATGTGATTTATTCTCCCTTACCCAGAAGCCAGACTTCTAGCAGTCTAGACCCTACAGACACACCTCCAGTGACCCCACCTATACCCTTACTTCACACCAGCCAAAGTCCCACCCATGAGGAGAGCAGGAGCTCAGAAGCTTCCTGGAAAACACTTCACCCTGTATCATCAGTGCTTTAACCTGTTTTCTGGCTTCTCCACCCACTGTGGATTAAAAGCTAAAACAGAAAAGACCAGTGGAGGAGGGAAAGGTGCATATGGGCCCTTGTTGGCCATCATGGTGCTAATCTGTAAGAAGTCACATTTGACAGCAAAGAAGCTAATAAGTCTAAAATGCAACCTGAATTGGGCTATGCGTTCTGGCATAGTTCCAATAATGGATGGTCAGAGTGACCTCTAGTCTTCAAGAAAACATGGGTAATAATTATTCCCTGCTGTCTGAAGATAGCAGGAAACAATTTATATACAGCCTTAAAGATGTAAGTAAACTTGAGCTACCTGAAAACTTGATGAAGACTGACATACTCATCTATAATGATGCTAATTAAATGAAGCCTCCATGGACTATCCTATGACTTTTGAACCCTGGCAGCCTGACTTTGTGGAATTCATTAATTTTGTATTTAGTATTGGAATTCTTCAGTGTTATGTGGCTTTCTGAAATATTTTATGTTCTTGGTTGCTATTTTTGTATTAGTTTTCATTCATTTAATAATAGTTTAAGTGTATACAGAATACTAAAAAACAACAAAACCTGTATCTGTTATTCTGGCAATAAATGCAATCAAAAGAACTTTTCAAAAAGAAAGCATTATTCCTTAAAACTAGTCTCAGCTACAGACTATCTGAATTTTATTGCATGTATTCACAGGCAAAAAACTGTCTGATCTGGAACGAGTTACCTCCCTGAAAGTATATAATTGGTTTGCTAACAGACGGAAGGAGATCAAGAGGAGAGCCAATATTGGTAATGTACCAGAGAGGCTGCTTTCCCTTTTGAAGCAATCATGGACATTGTATTTACTTGGAGAGCACCTTCAGTTTAGAAGTGCAGGTCTTAATGATGCTAACTTTTAAGCCTAACAAGAATTGGCCTTATGTTTTTCTTCGTGTTTTTAAGAGTTAGTATTATTAGCATTATTTGTATTATATTAATAATGGCATTGTTCTTAATATTCTAGAGTCTAGAATTAGATATGGCCCCTGACTGCATGACTCCTGTGCTGCATATTAAAGCTACTTGCTAAGGTCTTGAGCGAGGGAATGAGACCCTGAGCTGCTTTGTTATTACTGGGCCGTGACTTAGATATTAAGAAACATGTGCTTAATAGAATTGGAATGAAAGAGTCTTAATAGGGAACACAGCAAAACACAGATTTTTAAAAAGAGCATTTAAGAAATATGAACTGATGAAATTGGGGTGGGAGATTGGTTTTGAGCTTCTAAAATTGTATTTCATTTCTAAACTTAACTCCCTACCTCTCCATCAATACAATTCTCAAACACTTTATAGAACCCTGAGACAGGAGGGCTGTTGAATTAGTTGGTAAGTATTTATGAAGCACCCAACAGTCAACCACTCACACGTGGCTCGCATAGCAGCAGGGGCTCCAGAATGACAGATGTGTTCCTCCCCTGGCCTGGGTGCAGTTTAATTTTGTCCATCTACAATTTAAAAGAAAACATACAGGAATCTAGGTTCTGGTTTAATTACACCCTAGTTTCCTTAGCACAAAAATTAATTCCGTGTTCAAGCGATTACAATAATGTAACAGATAATTTAGGGATCTATTTGCTTTTTTCGAAGAAGCAGCAATCCTGGAGAGTCATGGGATAGATGTACAGAGTCCAGGAGGCCATTCCAACAGTGATGATGTTGACGGAAATGACTACTCAGAGCAGGTGAGCAGCTGAGAGCAGAGGTTCTTGGTTATAGAGCGGGTGGGACAGTATGACAAGTCAATTCTGTGGGTGCGTTTTGTACGGGGTGGGAGAGAGGAGACAATCCAGTGTCCCTCCACTCTGCTCATGCGTGTAGTTAGATTTTCATGTAATTTGAAAGGAATGTGGTAAGATTCAGTTGTCCTGTTAAATTTGTGAGAAACTGTTATTCACCCACATGGATTTATTGTCATACAACAGGATACTTGGCAAGTACGCAATGGGGAGGAGGAGGAGGGAAGAAGTTCAGAGGGAGGCAGAGAAGCAGAGAAGGTAGAAGAAGAGAGGAGGATCTGATCCAAACAAGCAAGTTACACCATCCACCACACACACACTCAATGTTTGAGAAATACTAGGGGCTACTGGGTAGCTGTAATCCATGCCTAAACATGTACCTACGCAGCACACAGTAGAAGGTCCCACCCACCACGGCCCCATTGCAGTGAGAACCCTCATGCCCAGATGAGTGGTTCTTCCAGAGTCTCTGGCACATTGACACACACATCTTGTCATAAATGCATGTCTTCTCACGTCACCCTGACCTAGTATTCATTGCTTGGGGGGGGAAATATATTTAATTGTAGCCACTGGATGGAATAATTCAGTCACTAAGAACGTGGGAGTTTTCCCCCCACATATCTCATGACAGATTTCATTAAAATTGTCATAGGATTTAAAATTCATTTCTGTTTGGAATATGAAAAGAATGTATGCTCTCTTCTGGACCCTAGCAGGGAAACTTTTGTTCTTTCGTATGGTGTATATACACCTCTTCGTGGCCCCTCAGCCAGCTCTTAAATGTAGTCCGCTCTGTTCTTCCCTCTGCCAACCACTTTACAGCCTCTGGTTACCAGCTTGAGTGCAGACAGGTTGTGTGCAGGAGTGCACACAACCCTCTTTTCAACTCTAAAGACCAGTCTGTGAAAATGGGAATGAAACAGTGATGCCCATGGTTCCCAGGGATTACCTTTTCTCTTTTTAGGACTCCAAATCATAGCTCCACATTTTATTCAAGCAAATATTCTGTCTTTCTAATCAAAAATATTCCTGTTATTTTTCAGTCTACCAATGTAGGTGGATCATTTCCATCATTTTTTCCACATGCCCTAAGGGCAGCACATCCCATGATTTTTTTTCCAAAGGGGCTTACCCTTTCCAAAGCTTTCTGATGCAGAGTTCCCCTGAAGATGTGACAGGTGAGAAACTTACCCCTTATTTGCAACACCATCTTCAGTGCCTGACAAACACCCTGCAATGCCAGTTTCCTTCACAGCTTTATTGTTTAACACATTGAGCTGTGCACGGAAGGAGAGCTTCACACTCGCCCTAAGTACGACACCTGCCGCTTCCCTGGCACGGCAGCCTGACAGCAGGAGAGCACCACCCATGGTCTCCCATAGCCATTTCCAGCTGGTATACTTTTGTCCTGTTGTAATTGAGAGGTTTTGGTTTTCCGTTCTTTTATAAAAGAGCATTTTTACCCATTAGATGTTGGTGTCTGTAGTTTAGTTTTCTCAGTTCAGCAGAGAGATACGATGAGGTCTGATAATCTGTTTGTAAGAGTACCAGTCCAGAATTTAATAGCTCACTAGTTTGGCCTTCAATGACTAGTGCTACGTTTGTTGCAAACTAGAATGATCAGATTTGACTAGCATCACCAGCAGTCTTTCCGATAGAAGGAATAAAATTCTCAGCAAGAAAAAAACATTTTGGTGCTTTTTATTTGTTGAATCATAAAAATGTCAATTGGAAGTCCTGACCTATTTCCATTCAGTGTCTACTTAAATACATTTCACCTCTACTGTGTCATGAGCCCCTCCCCCACTGTTTCCTCCCACGAATGTTCTGCCTCGCCTTGCCCTCAGCATGCCTTTCTGTGAGTTGGAGAATTTTGCCAATCCACTAATAACATTTGTTTCTTATTTCTGCACATCTAGGATGACAGCACTAGCCATAGTGACCACCAAGACCCCATCTCATTAGCTGTGGAAATGGCAGCAGTCAACCACACTATCTTGGCATTGGCCCGACAAGGAGCCAACGAAATCAAGACAGAGGCCCTGGATGACGACTGATCAGGGAGGGTTGAACAGGAGAAGTTAACTTAGTTTAGACGTAGCACCTTAGCAGACTTTCCTCGGTCCTTAACATGTGTTCTTACAGTATAACTTGCAGTTTCTTGTATGTCAGTTAGCCGTTAGGGTCTTGTTCTGTGAAGATGGCATGGTGCCCTCAGCCTTTGCATATACTCTCTCAGTATTAATTCCCAGTAAATAATAACCAACCAACCAACCAAACTCCCTCTCCCAGCCCCCGAGGCTAGAAAATCTTGCTGCTCTGTCTTAGCATTCCACGAAAGTGCTTCCAGGTATTTAGATAGCCCTCAGTTCTCCAATATTAGGCTACATATAAAACCTTGGGTACCTTTAGATTCCTGTAACACTAGTCTGTACCCTTTTCCTTCCCCAAGACTGATAGGATGCAAGCTGAGGTAGTGTGGCCCAGGATTGACAGACACCATTTGGGGAGTATCCGCAGAGTAAAAGGAACACTAGAATTCCCACTCAGCGTGGGAATCATTGATTTCCAGCTGCAATAAGCCGTGCCTCATAATAGTCACACTGTGGCTAGATTATACTTCTTTGGGTGCTGTGCTAAGAATGTGCATGGAAAAACTTGATCTCAGATTTTGGTTGATGTTAACATGCCTGACACAGACATCCTTTCCTCTCACAAGCTGTGTGACTTAGTAGATAAAATACTGCCTTCTGCCTTTGGGACCATGATTCAAACAAACAAAAAGACAAAAAACAAAAGTCATTAAAAAAAAAACAAAAAACAACCCAGCTTGAGAGCATTGGAAAAAAACATGAGCTGAATGTCTAATGGATGTTAAGTCCAGTTCTCAGAACCACTATACGTTGCGTGGCACAGGTATGTGCCTGCCCGGAAAAGTGCTGGAGGCATCGTGGAAGCTGCTCTGCCTCCTGTTGGTGTCCCTTTTCCCTGCTGCCAAAAAGTCAAGGATGGAGCTAAGGTCACAAATGAGTGAATGAACTTCCAGGCTTTGTATCCATTAACTGAAGCCCCCTCAATATGAGAGGTTGATAGAGGACTTTAGAGTGGGATTATGCTGGCTGACTATCAGAAATGCAAATACTTTCCTAAATAGGAGCAGAAAAAAGCAGGGGACAGTTGCCACTTATGTGGCGGGTCTTCGAGATACAACGTGATGTGACTGCTTTGGTGTTCTCTTTACTCTGTCCTTGTAGAGGTGTGAAAAGCTATATTGCTACAGGCAATTTATTTAATAATTGGAAGCCATATTGATAATGGATGTGGTAATATTTGTAAAGTTTAATCTACTTTAAGCGGCAGTAACTAATGGAATTTTTTTCCTTGATCACATATGTAGCACTTTTGTTACTTTTTAAAGATATTTATATTTGATAAATCTTTTTTTCATTTTGAGAACTCAAAATACCAAACAGTGAACTTGCGTTATAAAGTCACCCTGTGATCACCTTGTCATCTAGTAGCAAAATGATGAACTATTCATGCATCAAAGAAAATTACATCTGCTGGCCTTGTATGAAAATGATCTCTTGGCATCCCGATTAAATGACACACTGTCACTGTGGGGAAGAGGAAACCGCCTTCGATGTAGCAGCGTAGGGTGCGTCTGAAGGAGGCATGACTGCTGTATATTTTCTGCCTCATTCCATCTCCTTTCTACGCGTGGTGGAGCCTTGTTTAAAGGGGGATGTGGGGCTGCCTATTAAACAGGGCTTCTGTCTTGTCCATTACCTGAGAACGATTTCTAAGGTGGAAGGAAGGTGCCGTTTCCTTACCTCTTCACCCCTCCTCCCCCACCAAATGTATTCAGCCTAAAACCATTGAGAGAAAGACTGACCTTCTTTGTTTTTCCCTTCCTTGTTAGGGAGATATTAAATATCCACCAGTTTTTAGCTGATCTGACTCCACTTAAGGCACATGCTGACGAGGTCTTCTCCATATCCGTTCATCCTGCTTAGGCCAGTGTGCGGAAGCCTTTGAGAGGGCACGAAGATGCCACCTTATATGGGTCTGTGATTTTAAAGAGCCGTGGGCAGGGACTGGGCCTGCTCTTGTTTGTGGATTTCAGGCAGATAATGTATATACTTCTAGCTTCCAAGAACTGAAGTAAAATGGGGTAGTCTTTTCTGTTTTACTGTATTACTTGAACCAACAAATTCAAGAGTAGCATTTGTTATTCTCAGGAATGATCCCCCTGCTTATTTTCTTTCTTGGTGTGTTTGACTTTTTATTTCAGTTAGGAGATTATGTTATCTCTCTTTCCTTTTATATTACGTAGAAGAAATATATTTTATCTTTCCATTTCGGTGGAATTTTGTCTGCTTAATCTCAGTTGACTCAGAAAGAAAAGAAGAGAGAAAACTATAGTGTCTGACAAGCCACATCCATGATTTATTGTAAGGAGATTATTATAATTGATAGCTTCTTTATGATGGGATTGCTAGTATCATTGGTTCTTGCTGGTCTTTTTAAAGAAACAGACTCAAACTGTTAAGACAGCTGCAGTTTCTAAAGAAATACACTGATTGCCAGAGAAGAGCTAAAAGGTTTCATTGTTTTAAGGCCTTAAGAAAGGAAAAAGCTTCAGAGAATAAAGGAGAGTCATATCTATGAAAGCAGCCCTGGGCCCTGTCTGGCAACCTGGAAAAAGTGAGAGAACATGTCTACCAGTGCAGGATAGCCTAGACTGGGTTCAGTGGGAACAGGAGGAAGGAATCTTTCATCCAGAATTCTTCTTTTAATTGCAGAAGACTGCTGGCCTGCTCCTAAGACGACCTGCTGCCTTACATACAACTTTTGCTTTTTCACTAAGAGCAAAAATGTGGTTCTTTGGGGCCTAGATTTAAATCTACCATTGTTGGTTTTTTATTTTGGAGTTTGTTTGGTTTTTGTTTTTTTGTCACCAGGTTGAATTCTGTCTTGTCCAGGCTACCTTAGTTCTTATAATGGCATATGGAGTTGCCACTGTCTAATTTGTGATATCTTTGGATAGTGAATTTGTTTTCTTAAGCTTTTTCAGGTTTGGTAGTATTTAAACAGAAACCCTAAACTGCTCTCCTACTGAAGGGAAAAGAGCCAGGCTCTAAAAAAAATCACGTTCTGTGCTTTTTGGTTGTGATGTCCCTCCTTTCTTACTCCATACTGTACTTCCCTCAGGCCCCAGAAGTCTGTTTCAGGACTGCTTGTCCCTAGTGAGGAAGACTGAGGGTGGGGATGTGGAACCTTGTCAGCAGTTCTTATAACTTTTCTGTTATTTCTTTTTCTTTTTTAAAGACACTTTGATTGAATTACTGTAGTCAAATGGGTGAACTTCCTGCTCCTCTTACAACACAGCCTTACAAAGGGACCTTCGAAAGATGGACCATCCTAGTGGGATTTCTGCCTTGCTGTTGATAACCCTAATGTAGGATGAAGGGCAGGGAAGGCAGTACAGTATACTCTTAGCTGAGACCTTCTGGTGCCAGTCAGTACCAACCAGACATTTTGGGTTATTTCAGGTTTATTTCAGCAAAGTGTGTAATTTTGAGTACCCCTTAGGGCGATTTTCTTCACAGTCTCAATCCTTTAAAGTGGTTGATAAGTGTGGTCACCTTCCACCTACCTAGGGAATCTGTCCAGTTCCCGCACACTGTCTTTGGGGGGGACAGCCCCGCCCCCCACATTCTCCTGTTATTCCTTCACAGGAAGAAAGTTCCTGGAACAGGAAGACCCCTTTAAGATACCTTCGGCTCTAGCTCAGTAGAGGTGACCACCTAAAAAGATGTGAATGAGGAAGCAGCTCATCACTCCTGAAGTGCTCAAATCCAATGCCCCAGTCCCTGGTAGATTTAGGATGGCAGGCAGTCTGGTGACCAGCACTACTGCTGGGGCCAGATATCCACAGAGATTTTTTACCTCAAGGGGACAACTCATGAGGAGCTCATTCATACACTTGTTTCAGTTCTCCCTGTTTGGCCTTTGTCTTTACAAACTTCCCTCCTGGATTCCAACCATCAGGCACCAGATGTAAATAGACTCATTTCATCAGGAATCTCCAGCCACTTCATCTCCCTCTGTGAACAGCTCCTCTTCCATTTGCCTCTGGTCTCCAGTACTAAGGCCTCATCTTGAGCTGACATCTTTGCTGGGATTTATCTTCCACGGTAGGCAGAGTAGGTGGGTGTGGGCCATCTCTTCACACAAGCACTCCTTCCTGTCTTGCAGGCCATCTTTTTGACCAGCTACATAATTCCACTGACCAGCTGCATTATTTCTGCCCATAACAGTGGAAATAATCCCTTCTTCATACACGTCCTCCCACCCCTGTCCTAAAAATGTGAACTTCCAAGTCCTTACTCTCTTGGTCTTAAGAAGGGTTTGGGTAGAAGCAGTCTTCCCATTTAACTTGTGGCTCTGCCTTTTAAAATTGCTTTTTGTCTTTTCTTGTACAGAGAACAACCAGAGTATTTTATCCCCAATGAGTCTCAACAGATTCTTAGGCAATAATTTTTCTTGTTATTGATGATCTTGTGCTCAGTAGCACTCTACACTGAATAGTCCTGACCCTTCACATTGTGCGTTGGTTTTCTGTGTTAATCTCTGTCTGTGTTTAATTCTTCGGTCAGAGTGGTGATGGATTTTGTCATTTTTGTTGTTGTGATTATTAGTAATGTTTTACTACTGTATTCATTGGGGCTTTGAGACCAGCCAAATCCATTTATAGCTTTACTGAGCCAGATTTGTTTGTCAAGATTTCCCAAGTGAAAGTTGGGCGTACTGACCAGCTCTGCTGGTGGCGTCTGTGTGGGGCACAGGGGTGGGGTGGGGGATGCACTGGGGCAGGGGTGGGAATTACACATTTGAAACATTCCTTTTTGTGTGCTAAGTAGCAAGGATGTTTACTCAGGATTCTGGGATCAGTTGTCAGCCATACTGCATTTGGCTAACTGAGCTGCATGCCCTGAAAACCCTCTTCCTGTTTCTTAATTTCCGGAATGTCTAATTTACATTACTTCGTGACACCTAAGTTTTCCAGTTTGAAGGTATTGCACCATAATGAGAACACGAGGTTTTCCCAGGGAGGCAACTATGACTGGCCAGGTAATCCTATAAGGATTTCCCTGACCGTAGCCTGTTGTCAAGGCAGAGGCCTTCTTTTCCAGCTCCCCCGTCTCCTTCATTATATGCTCTTCTTTTCAAAAGAGGACTATCACTTACGAGGAAAGATTTCTTTACCACTCTCAGGAGAACTACCCTACTGAGGTGGTGGGAAAGGCTTCTTAAATACATCAAGCCTATAAGTCCCTTTTCTGATTACAGAAATTCCTATCACAAACAGGTTATGTTCAGAAAAGCTGTTCTTAATTCTCTTTACTTATAAGTTAAAAGTGATAAGCTACTGCTTTTGCCAACTTAAAGGATGGTTGACTCGCTTACTCTGAAGTGCAACTTTGTTCCTACCCATGGACGTTCAAAAGCTGGAAGTTCATAAACTGTGAGGTTTCTGCATCAGCTTCATTATTCTTTCTTGGTGGATATGAGAAGCAGCAGCGAAGAGAAAGCTAACGATCTGAGAAATCCCATTTCCTGTAACATTAGTTTTCCTTTGTAATTAAGAGGGGAGTAGATATGGTGGAGAAGAGAGGGAAACTCTGGCTGCACCAAAAGATCTTACACCATGTTCTTACCATCACCCAAGGACCTTGAGGATGTAATAGATGACATGGGTAAGAAATATGCAGATCACTGGACTTCTTCTTTAGCATGCTTCACATGACACTTGGGGCCAAGCAGTGAGCAGAGCTAAATCAAGTCAGTTCCATTCAGGTGAAGTCTAACTAGCATTTTACACCACTGACTACTAACCACCCACATTCCACGCCCGTTAGCTCATTAGCCAGCGCGGCGCCCCAACAGCAAACAAGGATGCACTGCAGGAGGCTTCGCCTTGCTCTCCTGACGTCCTTTTTCTTGGCAAGTTTGGGGACTGATGTGGACAGCAGTGCTGTGCTCTCCCATGGGTGTCTGAGCCCCATGGTGCAGTGGCGTGGGGCAGCTGGCGAGAGTGTGTGGTCCACGAGGGCTGCCCGACGCCGACCCGAGGAGGGCGTGTGCTCGCAGCTCGGCTCCCAGTTCAGACATCTCCGGGAGCCGCTCCCTTAACTCCATTTGCATTTTCTCTTTTAATGAAAGTGGCTCTGTACATCCGTAATTAACTCTCAAATTCACATTGGTGTGCTGTGATCAAATGAAGGTTTGCCTGAATCCTTTCAAATTGTAACCATGGTAATTGAGGGGGGTGGCACCGAATGAATATATAAAAATATAATGACAATTGTTCTGAATGACTGAGTGTCCTCCTGACATGTAATTAGCTGTTTTAGCAAGATGTAGATTGGCATGGTCATAATTAAAAGGATTTCTGTCCTTTATGTGATTGGAAATGGCAGAGCTCCCATTCCCTGTTCCCTTTTAGCACTAATGCTCCCAAGAACATTTGGAACAGCAACTCAGTAAACTAAAATAATGACATGGTGTTCATGTCCTCTCCTCAGTGAAAGAGAAGGATTTGGAGTTATTTCAGTTTCAAAATGGAAGCCTTTGCTACCCTCTCTCACATCCAGTTTCAACCTGCTCCACCTTTGGCCGGAAGTACGGTCAGAATCCCAACATGAGTCAACCCCTGAAAGGCCTCCACCACTCTGCCTGACTTGCTAGCCGGCTACCATACTGTGCACCTAACTTGAGGACATTGACTGCTTAAGAAGCTCCCCGGGGTTTTAATTCTTACCCGGCTTACTTGCTATTTCCATTGTCCTCACCATCAGAAAGTATCGAGTGGGAATGTACACATCTTCCTCATTGGATCATATGATGTTCGGCTGACATGACACAAACACATATGGGCTGTGAACAGTTCTGGGGCATAACTGGAGTGCTGATCCTCACAGTGTCCTGAGGTTACTGGATGCACCCCACTGGTGCCCCCACACCGCTCTTCCACGGCAACCACCAACTTCCTTGTATCGGCAGCCTTTTCTTAGCCAGGGTTTTCTCCGTTGTTCTGCTGAGTCGGTGGGATTGTCGCCCTAGCCCTTCCAAGTCCATGTTCTCTTTCTCTCCCTTCCACTATTCCTCCTTTTTCTTCATCCACCTTGTCCCACCCACTGAGCATCGGGTGGTCTGGACGCCTTACGCAGTCTCCTGCCCAGGATGTCTGCTCTTCTCCCCGCCGAGGCCTCCCACTGGACTGGACCTGCTGCGTCTTGATCTAGCCTTTCTCTAGAACATGCTTTTGGTTTTTTCCCATCACTTGCAGGAGTCTTCATTCAGTTATATCAAGAGTCAGTCTACGCAAATAGCAGCACCCAGCATAGTGCCAAGTGGCCCCTCCAGCTGCTTCATTCCCTTGTGGCTCCCAGCTGTGCTCATGAGCCTGGCCCATGAGTCCTTTCTTCCTTCAGTGCTGACGCCCCAGGATTGGTTAGTAACCACTGAGAGAATGCAGCTCTTGCTTTTGTTCATATTTTGCTGCTCACCCTCCTGCAGACCTTTACCCCTGTCCATGCATCAGAGGGGGCCCTAACCAAATGCTAAACTTCAGTCTGATGAAAATGCTGACATAGGCTGCATCTCTATAACTGTTCTCTCCCCCTGTACACACACACACACACACACACACACACCCCTACCTAGCTACCTACACACACACACACACACACACAGAATTTGGGAAAGGGTTCTGCCTTGGGTCCTTTATTCTGGTTCCCCTCAAAAATACCTCCAAATATATAGCAGTTGGGCTAAATCAGGAAAAATGCCAGTAAAAATTCTTACTCAGTGCTTCTCTTTCTATATGATCTAAAAGGGACTTTCAGCCCCACCCCCAGCAAGCCTGCTTTCACGACACATGTGCTGTCCTTGAGACTTTTCTGTGGGATCCTGTCAGTCTTCTGACAGTTGGAATGATCGTGGATTTATGACCGCAAAGAGCAGAATATCCCATCCCTTATTTTCCCAGCTGCTGGAAGATAACTATCTTCATTACAGTTGAGAATCTGTCTTAAGATTTGCAATTCTGAGAACTGACTAGGTGAGTATAATTCTGTGATTTGTGAGACGTGCATTAAAACGGCCAGCAGAACATTCTGATTATCTGCTTACATTCAAAGAAAATAGAATTATCACTGCAGTTAAAACCTTCTAACACAATCTACTATTTTAGGGATCAAAGTATTAGATGTGCTGCTTAAGGAATGGTGCTACTGAAAAAGAACTGGAGTTGGCAAGACATCTCCCTCCCCAGGTGTTTCCAGAGGCCACTTCAGTGATTCAAAACACCCTACACCATAAATGCCGGTACCACCAGCAGCCCCCACTAAAAAGAAAAAACCAAAAAAGAAAGCCAAGTCACCAAAATCCATAAAAACATAGGTAGTACTTACCAATGAAATACATATTTTTTGGAAGAAAACGCCAGAAGTTGCTCTTACAAGAAAACGGAGTAAAGACGTCATTCTAAATCATGCAGCAAGAGACATTCAGACCTCCTGAAGCATTCAAAGCTCATGATAATAGCCGCTGACATTTACTGAGCATGTACTGTGTGCCAGGCACTGTGCTGAGTGTTCTGCCTCATTTATTCTTGAAGATTCATGGACTGCGCACCTTAATGGAGAAGAGTGAAATCTCCGGTTGCTTCTTTCATCTTAGTAGGATGTTCATTGGAGAATGGACCACAGAGTCTGCCTGGCATTGCTCTGAATGAAACCACTGCATTTAACCTGTTTCGTTTTCCCACACGACCATGCTGGAGAATTCCCAATGCTATCATCTCTCTGGGCCCTTCATTCCCTCTGACACTGAACTAGTAGTGTTACCGTGATGCTCTAGACACGAGAGCCTCCCTTCCCCTTGGTCTTTCTCCTTGCTTAGTGATGGTGATAGAAACGTAGCGTGACCTCAGGGAGGCTCCGCAGCTGTGATGTGAAACCTCTTGTTTGAAGCATCCTGTCTCCAGAAGGCAAATGTGAGTTCCTGCCTCTTTGGGGGAAGAAACAGTAGGGCTGTCTCATCTGTTTTGAGAAGTAGAATTTACTAGCACTTCCAGTTAGTTGAGGCAGAGAATGTTAAAAATGCCACACACTTCCTCTTTTCTCTCTATTTTAGCTCTTCGAGCATCTTCATAGTGCCTGTTACTGTTAGGCATCCTGCTTCTGCACAGAAGTGTTTAGCTAAGCCATTCCAGCTCATTCTGCTGTCACGTCCGTCACAGTCATGAGAGGCAGTGGGCCTGAGCCAGTAGGAGGTTCTGGGACTCTGGTATTCGTGTCTGCCCTGCATGGAGACAGGTGCAGATTTGGGCTCAGCATAAGAACTTTCTAATCACAGTCCAGCACAGGGGCGAGCTGCCTCGGGGTTCAGGTGGCAGCTCAGTGACTACTGTCAGGGGCACCAACTCCAAGCTGACCTGAGGACAGGACTGAAATTCCATGTTTCTCTCCCCCTCGCTTCTCCAGCTCTTTTCCTCTTGCAAATAAGTGGTTCTCAGGGGCTGGCTGTCCCTCTCTCTTCTCATCCACTCTGTCATGTCCTAGGCATCCTTGAAGCCCAAGAGAGTGGAATCCGCCCCGGAGGAAGGCCCCAGTTGGAGTGGCCCCGTGAGCGGATTCACCAGGTTGACTACTTGGGACTGGTGGCCCCTGTCATAGGTACCTTGTTTCATTATCTGGCTAATGGGGTTATTTGATTATCTATTCCTCCCACCAAAAAAAAAGAAAGAAAACCCACCCTAATGTGAAGGGAACAAGGTATGTGTGCCTTCCGTTTAGCTGTTGATCCAGATCTGGCATGACTGGTGGCAGTTGGGTGCCCCTGAAATTTTGGAATGGAAACATTAACTCTGTCCTTGGAAAGCGCACGTGACTCTTAACCAACCAGTACGCATAGCAGAGATGAGTCACAAGATTTGTGTTGCCTTTATAACTTTTCCAGCTTCCCATCCCTTCCAGGTCACGCTGAAATTCCAGTCTTGTTTTCTGGCTTCCTTTAAGCCCAGAAACCGCTCCCCTTTTGTTGCTTTACTGAAACTAAGAGCCCAGCATAAACTTATGAGGGTCATTTTTCCACTTCATCATTCGTTGAAGCTATTAAACTGGAAACAAAATGACATTAGTTCTGTATTAATGTAAACAGCAGCCGCTCTAGCGATCCTACACTCAACTCTTGTTTGTATGCCAGAGTCCTAGGCCGGGTAGGCAGTGCATACATTAGTAGAGCGGACTGAACGAAGGTGAGAGCTCAGCCGTGGGCTCCTTTCAAGAGCATTATTGTTAGTGATTTGCCTTGAAAACCACATTTCAATATGTTAGAGTCAGTGAGCCCCTTAATCCTGCATCTCTGAAAATGGGCACCACGAAACCAAAACCAAAGTTCTTGTGGGCAGGGGTAGGGGGTAGGGAGCTTCTCCCTTCAAGCATCGGCATCTCTGGCAAGGCTTTTCTTTACTGTTCACTGGTTTTGCCAGAACACTCCTTTAGAAAGGGCCTCTTCTTTTCCTAGCAGTTTTTCTCACGCGGACAACAGAAAGCAGGCCCGTGCAGTCCTGTGAGTCTAGAGCAGGCTGTCCCGACTTCCCACACACCTGCTCTCCCCCGTCAGTTCGCCCTGGTCTGCAGAAACAGGAAGGAGAAAAGCCCTTGCTGGGCCCAGCCCTGTTTTCTTCACATTCACCCAGGCTGCAAGGTGGGACATTCCCCTGCCAGAAGATACCAAGAACATCCTAGTTGCCTCCCCTGGAAGAGCCCACAGCCTTCTCTGATTCCCCCTGGGCTCCGCTCCCTCCCTTCCACCGCCATAGTCACTGTTGGGTATGCAGTACCTTCCAAGGATACATTTCTAGTTACGTTTTTTAAGTGCCTAAGCAAGTTACAGACCTCTGGGACCTGCCAGAGAGTCGGCCTGTGCCCTGCCCCCATCCCTTCCCCACCCTGCACTTAGCCCCCAGGGGCGGGCGCAGATAGCTGCCCCTCTCCAGGGTCCCTGGCGTTCTGCAGGCAGAAAAACTACAAGGGCAAGCTTGTGGGCAGGGCGACATCGTCATTGCCCCATCAGGCTGGCTTTGTCACTCTTTCCTGTGCTGCTTTTTAGGGATGTCTCTGTTGATGCGGTTCCAGTCTCGGTTCATCGAGAATGTTAAGGAGCCTGCTTCGCGAGGTCTACAGCTACTGAGTGGGGGAGATAGATAGGGGAGAGCAAGACAGCCGCAGAGCAGAAGTCAGTCTTTTGTCCGCAGCTGGAAAGTGCATCCAGATCCAAGAGGGCAAAGAGTCAGATAATCATAGTTAAAAACACAATGATTCATTTGCCATCATTAATCATTGGAACCCTGGCTGCCTCCCCCTGTCCTCTCTTCCTAGATTTGAGGGGTCAGGGTGTCTGCTCACAAGGGCTCAGAAGGGCCATCATCGCTGGGGGTGAAGCAAGATCAAAAGTGTGTCTTTGAAAATGAGTGTGAGGTTATTTGTTTGCTTCTTTTTTAAAGTAATTGAAGTCTGACCTAAATTCGGGGCCTTTATTAAATGTGGTGGGTGTACGACGGATTATTTTGTGACTGCACTCTGTTCACATCACGGCACTAAGCAGCGCTCAGATGATTTGTTGGTGCATTAGAAAGTTTCTGCAAGATGGACAAATCCATACCCAGGCACTTTATTTTCATTAATAATCCAGCGTTTTTTGTTCAGACAATGTAATAACCCAAATGGTGGGCATTCACATTTAACAGGTATGGGCAGATTTGCCCGAGGAATTCTTTGGATGTGGATAGACAAGGGAGGCGGGTTGATGAAAGTGATCCCGTGGGAGGCCACTGCCGTGGTGATGACGGTGCTGACGAGAGGGAGGCTGCCCCGGAGCACGTCACACCAACCCGGAGTCGGCCGTGTGCTGCAGCTCGGTCCTGCGGACGCTGGTGTCGACGGCTTCCCCGGGGGCTTGTCGGTTGCCCCCGAGGCGCGCGCGCGGGGCTGCAGCCGCGCAGGGGACAGCGGTGCAGTGCGGCACCAGGCGCAGGAGGCCCGCCTGCTTCTCCATTAACCGGACCCGCGCACTGCTGGGACTCGTTCCGTTGCGGAACCGCGTGCAGCGCTGTCTGCCTGTCCAGGGCAGGGGTGGGAACGAGCTGGCGCAGCTGGTTATAAAATAGAAAGTGAGTTTGACAGTCATAATCTGATTAGATACCATGGACCACATGCCTTGGGACTGCCTCAGAGTCTTTAGCGTCCACCAAATACTCGAGTATCTGCGACGGGCTGTGTGGGGTCCCCCCAGATGGGTGTGGGGGCAGAGCGCCCTTTCCCTGCCTTGGCCGTCGTGTGTCTTAGTCTTTGTGTTTCCCTTTGGCGTCTCCTGGTCTCTGTCCCCCATCTTGTGCACCATGTGTCCCTGAGGGGAGTCGCACCTGTGTCTGAGTCTGCTGTAAGGTGTTCAGTCTACCTCAAGGGGTCATCATGGTCAACTCTGTCCCATAGCAATCCTCTGACATCGCCACACACACTGGAATGTATATCTGCCCCTGGCCCTGCCTTCCCTGTCAGTAACCTCCTGACCCCATCTTTCCTGTAATCACCACAAACTCCTAGTGCAAATTGGATGCTGCTTTAAATGTGAAAACAATTGTTCAAAAGCTATAAAACCTGAATGAAAGCTAAAGCTGAATTTATAAGCCTTGTTGCATATGAGCCAAAAGTGCAAAAAGCTCTATATAATGAACTAACCTGCCACTCGTATAAATATAAATATATATAAATATATTAAAATCAGACTGTTCTACAAAATTGTGTATTTGTATTTTTGTGTACGTACAATTTTCTGCTAAGCAGAAGGAGGATGTAGTATAGGATGCTGTGAGAAGAGATTTGGTTTAATCCTATTTCTTTGTTACTTATTTTTGTTAACATCAGATGCCTGTCTTTGTCTTATATGTGTATGACACTGTTTGGAAAGCTGCAGTATCTCTCTTCCTTAGGTCCAGAGTCCATTAGAGAATGAAATTTGGGGTTTAGAGAGTTGTCCAGGCCACCAAACATGCAGAAGTGGACAGAGCTTGGCCCTCTCCTGCCCAGGAGCTGCTCGCGGTCCTGAGGCAGCAGTGAGGCAGGGCACTGGCCTCTGGGAAGCAGACTCCCACTTCCAGAAAGCAACTTCCAAAACAAAAGATTGTCAGATCTCCCTGACAGAAGACTCCACCGGGTCCCTCAGGAGGAGATGCAGGACCTCTCAGTTCTGGGCCAGAAGTCTGCCCAGAGGTAGCAGGGGGCTCTGCCTGGCTCTAGTGCCCCGCTCACTGGCCGTCCCCGGGCTCTGTGTCCCTCTGCCTTTTTCAGACCAGGTTACCAAAATGCCTCCCCTCTGCTGAGCTGCTGGCGCTTCATCACCCAGACCTGCAGCCCCAGTTCCCTGGAGCATCTCAGAACCCACTTTCCCGGTGCTAACACACAAGAGGGGGGTAAAGTGGCTGCCAGTAAAGGCCAGAAACCAACCATCTGAGAGGCCAGGCCGGAAGACAAGCTCTGTGCGCCCAGGGCGGTCGCCTTTCCCCGGGGAAGGCGTCGGGCGCCCCGCCCGGGCCCCACCCCCGCCGCCCGCCCACCTCTCAGCCCCACGGCAGTCCCTCTTGGCGTGAACCTTGTCTAGGGAGAGCGATACTGCACCTTCACCTGTGGGACTCATATTTATAACAATGTGTAATGACTGTAGCAAAAAGCCCTTGTTTCTAGATGTAAATGGTCAAAGAAACAAGTGCTCTATTGTATTGATTAAAATAGTTCAAATGAGTCCTGTATCATTGTATCTCCTATTCTGGATTAGTGCCTTTTGGACAGTAGACTGTTCTGTAATTAAAATGTAGTATACTGCTTTTTTGTACAGTTTTGTTTTAATAAAACTTTTTTTTAATTTGTGTTTATTTTAGTATTGTACCTATTAGAGAATAAAACGTATAACTGAACAAAGCCTGGCCGGGATTTCTTTGGGTAAGGACGGTCATTTGGGAAGGGCCCCGACACTAACGGGGCGGGAGGGGCGGGGGTGCGGCGGTGTTCCCTTTCGGACGTCAGTGCCTTTGCTTTAAAAAAAAAAAAAAAAAAAGCGATTGGTGGCCATCCGAGGGCGCCTGGACAGGGCTGAGGTGACATCAAACACCGCCTGGTTGAGAGGGAATGCCACCTGCTCACGAAAGCCCCTGAGTCTGTCGGCCTCCGACCGAACTGCCTTCTCTGGGCGTGTCCCACCCGGAAGCGGCCGGGCCTTCCGCGGGCTGTCCCGCCCCGTGGCGCCCTCAAGCAGGCCCCAGCCTCCCTCCCCCCCAGCTGCCCCCCCACCCCAGAACCACTGCGGTCCTAGCGGCTTCTCCACCGCGGGGACCGCGGCCTTGTCCTTCCTCGTGCCGAGCCGTGACATTCCACACACCTTCCCTCTCCCACTGCAGGCCACATGCCAAGCAGCTCGTTTTCTTAAAAGAGCCATCTTTCCCGGGGCTTCTTCACCTTGAGCAGTGGAAAAATGGAATCAAAGAAAGCGTTGTGTTTCGTTGTGTTTCTTTAAAGACATCCAGTGGTTGGGGTCAGATCCTTACGCAGGACTCAAGGACAGAGTGCCCGAGCCCCCTCTCACCCAACAGACTCGGCTTGATTTGCTTTACTCCTCCTCAGAGAAAGCCTGAGAAGTAAACGGTTTTCTCTTCTTACCATACATACATCATTAGAAAAGGCTCTGCTAAATTTTAAGTTGCCCCCAAACCCAAAGTCGCAAGCGGAGGTGAGCGGAGGATGGGGGAGGGAATACAGAGAGCATCGTGACCTCAGGCTCCTCTGTTTGGGCCCAAACTGCTTTCTGCTTCCTTCAGGCCCGCCGCCTGCCCAGCAGTACCCCCTCCACCTCCTGTCCTCCGAGTCCTGCAAACACCAGCCTGGAGGGACCCTCCTCAACCCCTAGAGCCCCTGGGGCCCCTCCTGGCGGCCCCGTGCCCTCTAGACCCGGCTGTGGGGCTCGTCAGGATCGCTTGTCTGCCCTGCTCGCTGCACGAGGCCCGGCGCAGGACAAGAACACTGAGTGACTCAGCGAGTGACCAAACCAACTAAATGGGACGTGTCCACTGGAGCCCATTTTCGGGTCTGAGCAACTGTAACAACCCCCCAGCCTCAGGCAGACAGAGAAGATAGTATGAGTTGCGAGAGAACAAGTAGCAACTCGAAAAATGAGGATTTATCCCAGGAGCTAGATCAATTCTGCCTTCAGACTCCTGCCTCAGAGCAGGGCCGCTCCCGGCTGCCAAATTTCTGTCATAATTTGGCAGTACTTCTCTCTGAGAACAACTCTTTGGCACTTAGGGGTATAAACAAATCCCGCAAAGATGTGCCCTGACTGGTGGCCACCTCCCATCAGCCCTCTCCATCTGCAAGGACATTCACATCAGAGGAGGGCCAAGTGAGCCGCGGACGCAGGGCTGCCCAGGGAGTCGGTTCCCTGTGAAAGCAGCACCCCGGCCGGCCTCGTCCCCGTCCTGTGCTCCATCTGACAGGAAGGAGACCTGCTCATCTGCCCAGGTCGGCCGGGCCGTTGCGAACCGTGCTGGGCCACGCTGGGCGCACGTCCTGAGGATGGGGACAAGCAGGAACCCAGAGAGAACACTGGGTTCCACAGCCTGTGGGGGTGTGGCCAGCCCTGCCAGTGTCCGCAACCACCATCCCCTCCCCAGAACCACCTGCGCAGCAGCGGAACACGTCCTCGGCTCCCTAGTTGGCGGTTCTGCTGGGGGGTGGGGCTTGTGGATCACGCCAGTGGGGCCGTGCCCTGAGAATTGGGACACACTGCTCCAGAGAAGCGGCCTGTCCCCGCCACCTCCGACCCCCTCCAGGCCAGCTGCCTCCCAGTTAGCCCAGATGCTCCCGCTACCCGAAACTGGTTCTTGGCTCCTGTGAGAGGTCTCACCTAAGGGGAGTAGGACTGGCCACAGAACCCGTGGGGCCTCCCCGGTTCTTCAGTCCACACCACAAAGAGCACAGGGCCCGGAGAGGTGCGCTCGGGGACCTGCTGCTTCCCCGAGCCTCCCTCTTCTAGTCTCAATCTTGAAAAGCCTTGGACCCAGGCCACCCCTTGCCCTGTGGGACCGTCTGGAATGACCCCAAACACCCCCGCGCCTGGGTCAGGGAGGGAAAAGCAACAAGACCAACCTCAGACATAGGCAAGAAATCATCTGGGTTTATTTAGAGGCTGCTGGTCATACGACGGAAAGGCATATATGGTACAAAATTACAGAGGTTTAGTTCATTATATAATACAAATCATTCAGTCTTTACAATTCATTACAGAGTCTTTGGATTTTTTTTAAACTCCCATTTCATGTGCAGCAAATCAATATAGTCCCTCAATCAAAATCACTTCTTTATACGTGAACCCATCGTATTCACACAACTCTGCACATGGAGATGTTCCAAGACCCCCCACAAAATTAGTGTCAGCGGCCCAGTTGAAGGCACGTCGGACTTCTCGGAGAGAGAGAGGCGTGCGGAGATCATCGAGCCAGCGTCTTGGGCATAAAAGACAGGCTGCACTCGCCGTCCCCAGGGTAAGGCACGACAAACTGGTGGCCGCCTCCTCGGGCACTCCCCGTCCAAGACGCAGGCCTCCAGGCAGACCTCAGGCAAGTGGGGCTGGTCTTCGCCAGGAAAATAAATACCCTGGAACTTCTTGGGGGTCTCACATACAGGGAACAGTAAGCCAAGGGGAGAAAAGGGAAGTAATGGGGGATGGAAACGCCTAAAGCCGTTCAAACTCTTCAAGGGTCCCATTCACAGCTCAACGGAAGCGCCAAGCTCTCCGCAAACACACGAGGCCCTTCACGGCTGAGCCCGGCCCCACGCGCGGGCCGGGCCTTCTCCTGCTCCCGCGCCTCCGGCCAGGCTGGGATTCCGGACAGCTGCCCCCCCTGCGGCCCCCGCCTGGCCTCTGCCACGTCCTCGTGCGGCACGTGCGTGCAGGCAGCCCTCTTGCTGTCACCCCGGATGCCAGAGCCGGGAGCTGCCGGCACCACATCCCGCATCCTAGCGCTGACCCGCCATTTACCATCAGGCCTATCAGTAAGGTGAGAACAGAAGGCAGGGGAGATGGGGCGCTTCCCTCCGTCTCCCACGGTCACACGACCCGCAAGACGCCACGTCTGGCCCAATAAATGCTGGGTTGCGGGGACTGCCTGGGCTACGGCTTTAGTGACCACGTCTACTTCGTGCCACTGCTTTCCCAGCAACGAGTTACCAGGAGTCTGCACCGAGAAGCCAGGGGGAAGGCCGGAGACCAGTGCAGGGCGGGCCTCCTTCCGACTGGCACTGCTCACCCCGCCCCACCAAGGAGGGGTGCTGCCCGGGAAGACAGCGGACTACAACGGAGTGACGCCTGCACCCCGAGTGATCCGGCGACACACGGGCCCGGAAGGGACGTGCAGGTGGCGGAGCACGAAGACGGGAGGCTCAGGACGGCAAACCCTGTCCCTGCGAGGACCCGGCACAGCCCTCGTGGCTGCCAGGGTGCCCGCGGGGCCGCAGCTGGGGCAGGAGAGCCACACCCGCCTCTCCGGGCACTGGTGACCGGCCAGCCGCAGTGATAGCCGCCCCCCCGCCCCCGCCCCGAACACCGACGGGGCGGCCCTGTCCTCTCTCGCACGCTACGGGGCGGGGCCCAAAGCACGCTCCACTGGCAGGAAACCCCGGCAAGCAGCCCCCCAGCACCTTCCTCCCACGAAGAACGACGACCTGCCCACCCGGGGGGCAACAGAGCTGTCCCGCCCGGCGCTCCGCTCAGGTGCTCCAGGCCCAGAGAAGGCCGGGCTCCAAGCACAGGCTGCTGTGCCCGGGGGAGATGCGGGGACCAGGACGGTGGTGCGGAATCTCGGGCGGGGGACGTGGCCGTGTTTAAAAAGCAGGCCCGGGCCGGGGAGGCGGCGAGCCTGGGAGGAAGAGAAGGTGGTCCCGAAACCTCTTGCCACGCCGGGCCGGTCTGAACTCGGTCAGGGCTCTTCCCCGGCCCCCCTGCTCGGGTCCTCAATCCCACTGCGGTCTACTCCGTCTTTCCCAGCCCGAGCGACAGAGCCAGCCGGCCTTCCACCTTCCCGTGGTTCTCCCCAGTGCGCGCGGTGCCCGGCGTGGGCCCGCAGGCCGGTCACCGGAGGCTGTGGGGGCAGGAGCGGCTCGCCCCAGAGAAAGGGGTGGCGCCGGACCCGCGTCCACGGGCCCCACGGACGACCCCTAACGGGACGCGGGTTGTTAGAGGGCTTCTGGGCCGGGAAGGACCTTCCGCGGAAGAGCAGGGCGCAGAACGCACAGCACGAAGACGGGCGCCACGCGGCTGCGGCTGCCCCGCCCCTGGGCCGGGTCCCCTCACACGTGGGGCGCCGGGCAGGAGCCCCCGCGGTGCCCCCGCGGCCGCCACGGCCGGAGGAACAGAGACACCGCCCTCCCGGGGCCAACGGAGCTGTGCGGCCGAGGACGGGACGCAGGGGCCCCCGGGGGTGGGAGCGCAGCTTCGGCGCTGAGCAGAGGGTGCCCGGTGCTTCCGGGGACAGCAGAGAGCGCCTGGCGCGCAGTCGGACGCCCGAACTTCTACAAGCGGGAAAGCAGCACCGACCTCTCCTTGGCTTCAGCCTGTTGCCTGTGGGAAGATCCCGTCCAGCCCTGAAACTATGAACATCTGCGGGGCTAAGGCTACGCCAGGGGTGTGCTCGTCCGCTCCGGGCCCTGTCCTCTGTCCTCGGGAGGCCCGCGTTGTCCGCCGAGTGTGGCCCACCCCCTCCCAGGCCGGTTAAACCGCGCTGGCGCACAGCGGGCTGTTAGGGAGCTGGGCCCGAGCGGCTGGCGGGCACCGCCACGTGTAATTAATGGAAGCTAATTAATCTCGGGCTCCTCCCCGGGGGGGGCGCGGCGTACAGCAGCCGCACACCTGGGGGTGCCCACGGGGCTCTGCTTTCCCAGCTGCCCGCGGGCCCCACCCAGCCCCACCCAGCCCCACCCAGGGGCAGGGAACCTGGTGTTACTTCTCAGGAGGGGCTTCAAATCCCTAGAGAATGAGATTTTGCAAAAAAGGGCTTTCTGGGCATTGTTTTTAGGGTCTAAACGTGAGAGCTAAAAACGGGCCTCCAAGACGGCTGCGCACAAATCCTGACCCAGGGCTCTGTCCCGGAGGGGCCACCGTGTCCCCTAGGCTCCTGCGGCCAGCTCGTGAGGCGCACGGCAGGTGGTCGCTGGGCTACTGCTGCCATGGAGGGGCCCCATCGGCCCTGCCCGCCCTGCTGCCCACCCAGCACTTCCTCCCGCCGGGCCACGCACCACCACGGCCTGCAAGGCACCAGCCCTCTGCCTGCTTCCACAGACCCCGTCCCAGTGAGCCCAGCGGGAAAGGGCTCCAGGCCCAGAGGTATCCTGACAGGAGGTGGGCAATGCTCTTGGAGGTCTCATGCTGTCCGCGCCGCGTCTGTGGCTTGGCAAAGGGCCAGCCACCGGGACAGGGGGGAGCCCTGCTAGGCCACAGTCCCCCAGGCTCGGTCAGGGAGTCAGGGTAGAGAATAGCCAAGTTAAACTAGTCTAAGGTCCTTCCAAGAAACCAAAATTGCACCAGGTAAGGCCGTGATGCCCCTGACTTCGTCACTGCAGAAGCACAATAACATAATTCTCCAAGTTGTCACTGTCACCTTAGAGTAAGGCCACTTGTGTATCTGTGTCAATAACGACATAAGGAGGGGCATCATCCTCTGGCCCCTCTGGGAACCTCCACCCGAGGCCGGAGGCTGGCAGCCCGAGTGACCTCAGAGGCTGGCGATGTGCGAGGCAAGCCCCGGGCACTCATGCCTGGGCAGATGATTGTGGCTCGCGAATGACTTCAGATTTTGAAAAAATAAATATAAATAAATATATTCTAAGCACTCTGTTAAGGGAATAAATGACAAAGAGAAAACACTTTGCAGGTATTAAAGACACTAACACACCCACAAAGAAAGCCCTAAGAAACCCTGTGGAAAGGAAGAGGGAAAGGCAGGAGGGGCCAGGCCCAGTGCCCCTTGCTAGGGCGCCCTGGACCCAGTGCCAGAAACCTCAGGAGGCTAGCCAGAGGCACTTACGGGAGCTCGTTACTTGGTGCAGGGACTCTGGGGGCCGGAGGGATGCAGTGAGCCTAGGGAGCAAGCCAGGACCAGCACAGGTCGGCCGGGGTGCCAGCTCTGGAGGCACAGGGAGGATGCCCCCCCTCTGCGGGAAAGAAAGGCACTGAGATGGTTAAGAGGTTAATGGGGTCATCAGAACCAAAAAAAGGAACAGCAGCCCCCCCCCAGGGGGGGGGGACCCCAGGCACGGGGATGGGCAGGAGCCTCGCTCCCACAATCCAGGACTGCTCTCAGCTCCCAGAACCTTCCACCCTCTACCTTGCTGAGATGCCTCCCCATTCTCTGCGCAGAGGAAGCTTCCAGAGTCCCAGGAGGAGCAGGGAGAGGTCAGCAGCCCTGTGTTGTGCAGAAAGGATGCCTCGCCATGTTCCCCACGGAAGGGGGTTTAAGGTGTCCCTGCCCACTCAGTTCCCATCCCCACCCCAGCGCTGTCGCTGGCAAGGCTCAGAAGGGGGCACTGGCCACCCCCTCTCTGTCAGCCTCTGCCTGGGAGGCAGAGGGAAGCAGGCAGGCAGCCCGGGAGGATGCGACCCGGAGTGGGGAGGGGGGGCTGCAGCATCCAGCACTGGTTTAGCTGGCCCAGGATTTTCGGTTCTCAGGGTTCTTATGGCTCCTGTCGGCCCTCAGCACTGTGGCGCCCTCCACCTTGGCCAGAGCCGCGGTCAGGGAGGCCAGGTTGGTGGCGGAGCCGGAGAGGGTGCTGCTCCTGCGGGGCTCGGGGGCGCCCTGCAGCCGGAGACCCGCGCTGCGCCGCCGGCCTGCGCCCACTGCTCTGCGCACCCGGCCTGGCCTCACCAGCAGCCCGTAGCCGGGGTTGCACTTGAAGTACTGCTTCCCTCCGATGGAGCCGTCATTCTTACCTGAGGGGAGGAGAGAAGAACACATGGGGGTGGCTTCTCACAGCCCCTCGCTCCGGGCCCCTGTGTGCCTGGTGGCTCCCCAGGGGCACAGGTGCTCACTGTTGAGCAAAGGAGGCCGGGGTGACCCCGGAGGCACACGGTGGTCCCCAAGGACGGGCACCCCCGGGCAGCCCCAGGTCCTGCCATTTCCGGTGTCCGGGTGCAGGCAAGTCACCAAAGCAGAGCTGGACCGACCCCACCCCAGCCTCGGGCATGGACCTTCAACCTGGCTGGTCAACATGTAAACCTAGGATGGATGTCATTGTAGAACGATTATTTTTCCTGACTCTAACAGATGGAAACTGGCAAATTACCAAATTGTAGCTAGTCAGATATCACACTTGATGTATCAAGATGGCATGAGGAAGTTTCCTTTGTAAAAGCAACAGAAAATGCACTGAGGTGAAGAAGGAGAACCCGGCACTCAAGTCAGTACAGGGAGAGGGTGCCTGAAGAAACGGGCCTCCATGACCCCTAAATGTCAACGTGCCATGGGGACAGGTTGGTGGGGAGCATGATCTCTGCAGCAAAAAACAATCTTGAATTTTCTACATCCACTGTCCCTGCCCTTCTCTCCCCACCACACCTCTGCTCTCCATCAACAAGGGTCCCCTCAGTGCACCTCTCAAAGCACCTAACAGACCATCTCTCTCGGGCCACCGCTGTCACTCGGCTCCCAGGGCATGCACCCCCGCCCCCAGCACCAGCTCCCCGCTTCTAGGTTCCTCACCATCCGGCCCACTCACCCCATTTCATTTTCTTCATGATCCTTACTACTATCAAATTTTAATTATTTATTTGTCTACTTGGCAATTTTCTCCCTCTTAAAATGAAAGTCCAGTGAAACCAGGGACTTTATTTCACTCCCCAAAGTATCCTTGGGATCCAACATGGTGACTGCTACGTGGTAGATGCTTAATACATATTGTTGGATGAACTGATCCATTTGTTAATCCCTCTTCAATTCTTGAATTCAACTGCAGATATAAACTTCTCTCCCAATTCCTCTGCACATAGTAGCAGATACTCCTTCAAAAAATATTCTAGCTATAGGACTCTTCTGGAACCACTTCCAACTTACAGCATTATTCACAGTCGCCAAAAAGTGGAAACCACCCACATGTCCACCCACTGACAAATGGATGAACAAAAGGTGCCCCCCCAACAACAGAACAGTATTTGGCCATAAAAAGGAATGAAGTGCTGACCCAGCTTGTAACCGGATCTACCTTGGAAAATCATGCTAAGTGAAAGAAGCCAGTCACAAAAGCCCACATCCTGCCTGATCCCCTTTATGTGAAAGTCCAGACTGAGACATTTCATATACATTTAGAGAGACAAAAAATAGATTATTGGTTACCTAGGGCTTAGGGAGGAGACTGCCTTACAAATGGACATGTGGCTTTTTTGTGGGGGAGGACTGATAAACCTATTCTAAAAGTAGACTGTGGTAATGGTTGCACAATTCGGTAAATATACTCAGAACCATTAAACTGTACACTTCTAACAGGTAGACTTTACAGTATGTGAATTGGTATCACAATAAAGCTGTGTTATAAAAAAAAACATCTGGGGATGCCTGGTGCCTCAGCTGACTGAGCGTCTGACTTCTGCTCAAGTCATGATCTCAGGATCCCAGGATCGAGCTGCATGTGGGGCTCCTTGCTCAGTGGGGAGTCTGCTTCTCCCTCTGCCTGCTGCTCCCCCTGCTCGTGCTCTCCCTCTTAAATAAATAAATAAATAAATAAATAAATACATACATACATACATACATACATACATACATACAAACATCTGAAGGACCAAGTAATTCCTTAAGTTGTGCCCCTGGTTTTTCGGAAAATGGTGATCCAGTCGCTTGTAAGATGTGCCATTCTACAATGACACTTAAGAGACTGGTGAGCCTGGAATGCACCTTAGATCACCCCGCCTCCTGTTCTCCCGCCCAGGCATCCAAGCACCCCCACAGACATGTGTCTGCAACCCAAGCAGACCCGCACAGAGCTACCGTCAGACTGTTAACAGTTCAAGAGCAGAGGCCTCTGTGCCTTTAAAAAAAAAAAAGGTCCTTAAATTCATTACCAAATTGATAGTGGCTTTCAATTAATGTCTTAGGTTTCTGAAAAATGCAGGTTAAACAAAGAGAGGGCTTAGGAAACTCTTATTCCTGGTCCTGAGAAGTAGAGGCTCCGGGAGGTCCAATGATATGCCCAGGGGCACACAGCACGTTCCTCTGCCAGCCCGCCCTTGGCTAAGTCACCTGCACGCCGGGAACCAGGCCCCAAGCAGCGCCACTCACCTGAAGGTAAGTCCAGCTCCACTCCGATCCACGTCCCCTCCTGAAAGTCGGTGGGCCCGATGTATCTCACGATGCCCATTTTGTTGGTGCCCACGGTGACATATTCTCCCTCTCTGAGCCACTCTGGGACTTCGCTGGCTTCTTCAGAATCGGAGGACACTTCCATTTTTCCCAGGGCCGGTGCCCCCGCCCCGCCGACACCCAGCGCCCCCGAGGCCAGGAGGTCCTCCTCGGCCGCCGCCGGGCAGCTGGGGTCTCCGCCCAGCATGCGCGTGAACGACTTCAGCTCGGAGGTCCGCACCTTCTGGATTCTGAACGGAGACGCAGGAGCAGGGGACGGAGACAGGAGGTCGGGAGGCACCTGCGGTGTGGAGGCGACCAGCTCTGAGCCGGCGGCCGGCTTCGCGCGCTCCTCGGGCCTTCGGAGCCGCGTGCTGGCCGGGGACACCTCGCCCCCGCCCTGCCGGCTGCGCGATTCCTTCGGGGGGGCGCAAGCGGGGAGAGGAGTCGGGGGTGCGCTCGCGTCTTCCTTCTCCGAGGAAACCGGCTCCTTGGCCTCGCATGCGCCATCGCTGTCGCCCCACGCATCCTGCTTTGCTGGGACCGGCAGCGACAGAAGGCTGCCCTGGCCTTGCCGGCGGGCGGGAAGCTCACCGTCTGCCGCGGCAGCGGTCGGGGGAAGCGGGAACTCGGTCTCCGGGGTGGCCTGGCAGAGGGCCGGCGGGGGCGAGCCGGGGGTCTGCCCGCCCGCTGTCGCCGCGCTGTCCAGGCCAGGGACGAACGCATCGGACAGCGTGGCGGAGGACACGCTGTGGGAAAAGTAGCCGCTAGAGGCCTCGCTCAGGGGGCTGGGCGGCCCCTCCTGCACCTCGGGGGCCTGGGCGCCGGCAGCGGCCGCCTGCAGGGCAGGCGCCTTGGTCGGTCTGTCGTAGAGCTTCACGGGGGCCGCGTGCGCAGTCACATCAGGGGCCGCACTGATCCCCACGCTCTCTCGGTGAGCCTGGAGCAGGGAAGGGCGCAAGGAGAACTGGTTAAAACTCCAAGTTTGCTGCTCATTCCCAAAAGAACTGCGACAGATTTCATCGGCTGAAACATGACGGCTCGCAGGGTGGGAAGCCGCTGCTGTGCACTAGGGCGGACCCCGTGTCCCATCTGTGCCACCACTTCGTCCATGTGACCCCGGCTTTCCGCGCACCAAATGCCGAGGAGCCCACTATGGGCCAGGCGGGCGCTGAGAGCACAGCGGGCGGCCGCCGGCCTGCCCCTTCCACCTCCTGGCCTTGTGTATACACTCCGGAGTCTAACCGCTGCCTGGGATAGCCTGACTTACCCTAAGAAATATATATTCGGCCTTCATCCTGTTTCTGCCCCAGAGCTCCTGAAACCCTTGGAGTTTCCTACGTGTTAAGAACAATAAAGGTGTCTTGTAACAAGCCCCCTGCAACCACACCTGAGGTCACGTTAAGGCGGTGACTCTGGGGCAGCACCTCAGGATGGGGGCTGGGTGCCAGGGGAACCCACCTTGTGATTAGTGCGTCAGCCCCACGGCCTCCGGGGCAGAGAGCGGGGCTGCAGGTGACTTAATCAGTAATTGCCAATGATTTAATCAATAGCGCCTGTGTAACAAGGCCTCCATAACAACCTGGAAGGACAGGCTTCTGGAAGCTGCCGGGCTGGTGAACATGCAGAGGTGTGGGGACAGCAGGGTACCCAGGAAGGCACTGAACGTGCACACCTTTTCCCCACACCTTGCCCCATGCCTCGCTTCCACTGGCTGTTTCTGAGTCGTATCCCTTGGAATAAACTGGTGATCTAGTGAGTAAAAATGTTCTGTGAAGCATTCTAACAAATTAATCAAACCCAAGTGGGGATCATTGGAACCTCTTATCTACAGCCGGTTGGTCAGAGCACAGGTGACAGACAACCTGGGCTTGCGACTGGCCTCCAAAGCGGGGGCAGTCTTGTGGGCCTGAGTGGGTGCTGACGCGGTCTGCGGGTAGACAGTGTCAGAACTGAGTTGACTCACAGAACATTCAGCTGGTGTGGAACAGCACCTGCTTGGTGGTGGGCCAGAATGCATACTCGATGGCCACACAGGGTCCATGAGGCCTGACAAGGCAGGAAAAGGCCCTCACCCCAGGGCGCGGCACCCAGTAGGTGCACACTAAATCTCCAGTCCCTCCTTACCCGCCTGCACCCCTGGCCTTGCTGCACTCAGGCTCAGAACCCTGTTCCCATGGAAACAGATCCCCTCCCCACCAGGGACTTCATGGGGAACGGACAGAATCACTAGAGCCAGAAGAGCACTTTCTCCTGCAAAGTTGGATGGAGGAGGATGTCCTTGGCGGATGCACAAGGGACTTAGCATAGCTTCCACCAGCCCAGCCACGAACGACGCTCGGGCCTGGTAGCTGACTTGCGGCTCCTGGCGGGGAGTCAGATGGAAGAAGAGGAGACGGGCGGGCTGCAGGCCGGTCTCGTGTCACGGGTCGGGGCCCTCTGATCCAGGGAGACTCAGGCCGAGCAGCCGTCCGCCCTGCAGTGAAGAGGGGCTGAGCGCGGAAGGAGCCACAGAGGCTGGCCTTCCCCTCTGGGATCACTCGTCTGAGTCACACTGGTAGAGACACACACGCGGCCCCAATCTCCTGGGGAATGACAACAGCCACTGCCCGTCCACATTCTACTGTTTCTGAGGTGCTGCTAAGGTGTTCTTTCATTGACAGCTGAAGCCATTTGAAGAAGAGAGCAGATTATCTTTCTATCCCCGATTCACAATGACAGGGGCAAGAGAGAAGGCAGGAATGGGGAATGGGGTTGGTGCACTGGAGAAGGGTGCTGTTCAGAAAAAGAAATATGTCTTCCAATATTTATGGAAAGATTATTTATATTACAGGAATGGCCATTTTCCATTTGAAATACAGGATTTATTTGAACTGGGAAACAGCTGAGATCTATAAGTCTCTTACAGTTACTTGGCTTAACTCAGAAGTTTGATAAATCATGCATTTTCACATGAATTGTCATTTATATTCCTGTCTCCAGAGGCCCTCCTTTCCCCACAAGGCACACTTTCAGGGTACAAAATTAACGGCACCTCTTGAGATTAACAGCCCATTTTTGTGATGGATCTCTAGGCTGCAAAATTTACTAAATCCAATAGATCAATAACTGTCACCAGCATAAATACTCTAAAAGATTAGGCAATCCTTCAATCATTTTTCTTTTGCAACTTGTACATGTTTTATTTATTCTTTTCTATTTTATTTTTAATATCACTGACCAGGCAGGGAAGAATATACAAACAAAATTACAAGAGCCTAGGATCTGAATGGGAACTTTGGTTCTGGAATCATGCGTGCTCCCTATTCCCTTGGTGGGTAATACCCCATCACTGCCACATGGACAGCTGTCTGCTAAGGGCCAGCTATGTCCCGTCCTGAGGAGGTGACAGTCCAGGGAGTGTGCCTTAGATTTCCCTGGTCATTATCCCATTTGCTCCCACATGAATCCCTTGATGTAGGCCAGGAAGTATTACCATATGCATTTTACAACTTGGCCCAGCGAGGTTAAAGGGTTTATCCAAAGCTCCAGTAATTACAACCAGGGACCAGAGGTCAGATCCACAGTGACATCAGAGACCAAAGGTGGCAGAAGGCGAGCCCTGATTGCACCGTTCTTTCCTGCTGAGCCCGAGCGCAGCCTCAGATTCCTTCCGTGAGAGCACTGCGGGAAGCCGCTCCCACTTGACTGGAGTTTCTATGTGAGTGGAAACCTGTTCCCCAGCCTTGGGTTATTCCCTTACCACTGCCACTCCTAGAGACTGCTGTGAAAGTCTAGCCTTGCAAAAACCACCAGGATGAACAGCGGTGTGGCTGGAGCTGCAGAGGCTGCAGGAGATCTGGTGCCCTCGCCAGTAAGAGACTCGGCCTCCCTCTGTCCCATTGGCCTTGGGGCCCCAGGCCTGCCTCACACGACTCATGGGGGAGTGAGGGGGGCCACGTGAACACCAAATATGTCCTGGATTGGAAAGGGCCTTTCAGAAAGGACTGAATCCCCTTTCAGATTATTTGCCCATTTTGCTGTTGTTTTAATAAATAAAATTTTCTGATGAAGATACAGCATTTCCTAAGAGAATGAACGCACAGTGGGAGAAAATAGATTTGCTATTCATAAGATGAGAAGTGCTGTTCATCTGTGGGAGATCATAAGAGACTATTTTCTCCCCAGCTTAGCATTAGTCTTTTCACGCTGATATCATGAATCAGAATGAAATGTAAAACTGAGAATTAAGCAAACACTTGGAATAAGGAGATTGTTCTGTTTATAGAAATCGCCTTTGCCTAGCAGTGGGCTATTAAAGCAACAGACTACATTAGCAGTCAAGCACCTAAAAGTTCAGCAATCATATGATTAACAAGTTGAAAATAGAAAAGTGGAACAAGGAAAATATAGAGGGAGAAGACAGTGACCTATATTATAGCTAATTATCAAAACGGGAACGCTAAAATGAAAAACCCACGGGTGTGGACTCAACAGTTACGGCATCGGGGCCACCCCCCACATGTGGGGCGGCTGCCAGTGAAGGCACCCCCCCACCCCCGCCCGTCTGACTCACCTCCGCCGCTCTGGTCGTCCCAGCATCCGCGAGGGCAGCCTGCACCATGATTCGGGGCACGGGCTGAGGAAACAAGCGAACAGGCAGGCGTGAGGGATCAAGAGAAGCAGAACAGAGATAACCAGAGGTTTCCACTGAACAGACTGGAGAGCCCGTCAGGAGGACCCAGTCGAAGTGAACTTCTACAACTTTCGCGAATTCTAACAAGTCACTGCCAAGTAGGCCTGCCAAGGGCTAGCGACGCCACACTACACAGGGCAGTGTTAGCAGTAAGGAGCACAGCAGGCGGCTGGTAACCCCAGAAACGTGCTGAAAACAGTAACACACACGGCGTGCTTACACGCACACAGGCTCTGCGCTCACGTACGGCGTGTGTTCGTCAAGGCTGTTCTGCACTACAAGCGTTCTAGGATGCCAGGGAGAAGGGGTGGGAACAGGAAAGATCGGGAAGGGCTTCAGACAGGAGGTGGGACACAAACGAAGCCTTGATGGCCAAGGACAACTGGTGCCCGAGCAGGACCGGCGCGTGTCTTCACAGGAAGTGAGGAGTAAGGAGGCCAGTCCGGCTACAGCCCACTTCTGGGGCAGAGCAAAAAGCGGGACAGATACATGGAGAGACCCTTTGGTATCCCAATCAAGTAAGGACGAGGACCGCCAGAGATGCCTGAGTGAAAAGCAGGAGCTTGAGCTGACGGATCTGGCAGTAGAAGGCAAAGCGACTGGAGAAATATTTAAAGGCTAAGGTAGGCAGATCGCTGAGGAGACTCCAGCAACAGAGCAGATGAGAGGGGGTGAGAGCCTGAATCAATGGCTGTGTAAGCAACAGCACGAGAAGGACGTCATTATTTATGGACATGCGGCTCAAGGAACATTAAAAAAAAAAGAGTGAAAAAATCATTAGCACCAGGATAAGGAAAAGGGAGGTCAGAAGAAGTAGCTGGTAACTGCGAAGGAGAAGAAATCAGGCATCCTTTTAGCAGCTGCTGGGTTTACAACGGCAGTGAGATACAGAGACAGACGGGATTCTCTCCAAGAAACCACGAATCCACCACTTCTGCCTTTCTCCCATCAACCAACCTCTGGCTCCTTCTCAGGTCCTCCCGTTCCAGCACCAGAGTCTGGACCTCGCCTCAGGATGCCCAGCTCCCAGAGGATCCTGACAGCACAGCCTCACAGGAGGGTCAAAATTGGGTGTCGCAGTTTGTTTCGATGCAGTAGCAGTGTTCTTTGTCTTGTTGGATCCAAAAGGAAAAGTCGCTGACCACTCATCTCTTACCTAATCTAAATTGCATAGAGAGGCAGATTTCCTATCTTTCCACTTCCCTTCCTCTGACCCTACATGCTCCAGGTCCTCCCCGTTTCCACGATGGCTTCTACGCCATCAGGATGCTCCGGACAATTGGCAGGCACTAAGGCTGGATGGCCGAAGACTGGCTTCCTACTGAGCAGCCCCAACTCTTACTGAAGGGACAAGAGCCCACCTGGAACAAGATGGTGCACTCAGGAGGTTAACCTGAGTTCACAGCACCAAGTAACTCCGCTCTGCTGGCGACCCGGTAGACAGTGACAGGGGAGTTACTCAAGCAAGTATCCTCCACTCCCTTACAGCCCTTGAATACAGGGGCTGCCATCTTCCTTTTGGTATTTACTTTCTTCCATAGTATCTGAAGTCCCCCACAAACGGAAAGGTGTTCGCAGCATATTTCCTTCGTAAAGGCAGAAAAAAGGTCTTTTAAGCTCAAACCCCAAAATACCTCTATTCCTCAGTTAGATCTTCTTTAAAGCAGACAAGATGGGGGTGAAACATTCCCCCGTAAAGCATAAACAGGTAAAATCCCACCAAGGGTGGAACATAACCAGCCAGGATGAAGCCTCTCTAAGATGCGAGGACTCTTGCCCTCCTTAACAGAACAGGGAAACACAACTTACACTCTCCTCGCGGACTCAGGGGAATGAGAAAACTCCAGGAAATGCTTAAAAAAATACCTGCTGCCATGAGTGAAGGGACGAGCCTGTGACACGGTGGCATCAGCGAGCCCACGGGCTTCCTGGTACCCAGGGCCCCACGTCACGGCTCCGGGCCGTCACGCTGAGCCCTCACGTCTCTCCTCACAGGCCTCCCGCCACCGTCAGTCACTCCCATGACTTCTCCACCAGCAACATACCCGCCTCATGAACAGGCCCATCCCGAGGCCACCATTCAGAGGAAGGGGGAAGCAGGACACTGGATGATGACACACACCTGAAACGGCTAAACAGTGTCAAAAATAAGATGGGATCGGGGCTGAGGGGGTCCTGGGTGTGTGTCAAGTACTTGGAGCACTGCTACTGCTCCCATGCTCGTAACTTTGCGGGGCCCCCTCCTTGGGAAGCCAGGTGGTGGCGGCTGCCAGAAACCAACCCTGGCCAAGTGAGCATCAGGTAGATATGTCTCCGAGGACTCTGAAAGGTGCAGGCTAAAGAGGGTGCGGTGTAGGCATACAACACCGGCTCTGTATTGATTGTCGCTGAAGCGAGGTGACAAGCACACAGGATTCACAGTCGTATTCTCTCTACTTTTACGTATTTCAAATTTTTCCATAATACCGTCCTACGTGAAGAAGATAACCGGGACTCATTCAATGTACAAATTCAGTTCAACAAAGATGGGTCTCACGGTGTACAAGGCATCGCAACAGGTGCTGGGAAGAACACAAAGTTCACAAAGTCACAGGCTTTGCTCTCGGCAGACCGGCAAGGACATGTATGCAAATAACTGAAACAGCAAGGAAAATGATAGATACTAGAATGAAAGCTTCAAACGCAGAGAAGATCCAGAGGAAGGGATGATAAATGAAATAGGCCTAGAATACCCTGCCGGAGGCGATCGCACTTTGAGACAGGCCTTGAAGACTGAGCGGCTTTTCCCAGGGCAGAGGGACATTTCCAACATGAAGAACGACATGGCAAAAGCACGGTGCTCTTTGCGCCTGATGTGTTCCCTCTACTGCCACCTCTGTCCCCAGAAAAGCTACTCAATCTGCCAGGAGGGCTTGGGGAAGACAGAATGATCTAGAGTGACCTGCACTGGGCAGAGGGAAGCAGGTTAGGGCCGTGAGCTTATGGTTGATTTTCACCCACAGTGATGAGCTATCAAAGGTAAATGAATGAGCGGTGATAAGAGCTACGCTTGGAGACGATTAACCCTTAAACAGGGGAGATATGAAACTTGAGAGATCAATGAAGAAGTTGCTTCAACGGTTTGGTGGAGAGCTACTGAGAGCCTGAACTTGGATGGAAAGAGGAAAAGGAACTGAAAAGCTAGAGATAGGAGGGAGAGTCCTGACCACGTGAAAAGAACTGGCTGGGGAGGCTGGGGAAATAGAGTCAAAGATGATGCCCAGGAAGGATGGATGACCGGGAGGGGGGTCACGGTGGTGTTAGCAGAACCCGTGTCCATGCGTGTGTGTGCCCCTGTGCATGGGCCCATGTGCAAGGGGACTCAGGCTTGTGTGTTGGGCAATGGCCTGTGATGAATTCAGGAGCTTCATTAAGGATACCAAAAATACCTACAAAGTGTACTGAAATCTTAAGTGTGCCATTTGTCCTTCACACCTAAGAGCTCAGATTTCCAAATGTGTATTGTTTGCATTTTAATGCTGTTTTACACATCCCCAGTGTAGGCAGTTGCCTCCTATTTCAGGAGCTCAAAACATTTCAGATCATAAGTTCATTAATCCTTACGACACATCTGGCAACTATTAATAAAGATGACGAAGTCTTTTGCAGCTATAAATATTAAGGAGAAGTCCCACAAGGCAGGCGAATATAAGTATAATTATCTACATCTCACACTACAGACACCAAGGCTCGGAGACATTCACCTAATGGTTACATGCATCCAGGCTGCCCAGTGAGCCGGTGACAGAGACGGCAAAGGACCGACTTCCAAGCACCAGCTGAATGTGCAATCATGCCGTCTGCTGAGCATCACTGAAGCTTAGCAGATGAGTGGGTTCCAGCAAGAGAGCTGCTCAGAAGTATTTCAGGGAAAAGATGAGGGTCACATCTCATATCACAGCCCGTCATTTTTTAATGCCACATGAATGAAGAAAACAGGGCAGATCAGCTCAGAATTTCAACCAGGCATCGGAGTCACTGGGAGACCCCTCTGCCTCAAAGCATAAAGTTTTAACACTTTGGCAACATGTAAAGGCCCTCACCTCTCCGTGAGGCTGCACCCTTTCCTCGCTTGTGAAGCTAACCCCACTCTGAACTGACCACATTCCTCTGCCGGAGCCTTCCTCGAGCTCTTCCTTTTCCCTAGGGAATCATGTTCTACCTGGTGAGTGCCGACTCACATCTGTCTCAGCTTGAGCATGATCTACTCTTCCCGAAACTGCCTTCACCGCGCCAGCCCCAGACATACATATTACAGCATCCGTAACGTCACCCTGTTTAGCTCTCCAAAGGGCAGGGATTATGGCTCATTCATCTCTGTATTCCCGTACACAAAAGAATAACTTCATGTTTGTTGAATGAATAAAAATACGTAAATGAACAAATTAATTACTTAAGTGACATGACAAAGGCCACATTGTACAGTTACAGAGAATTTGGAAAAGAATAGACATTTTGAAATTTGGGCATTGGCATAGGTAGAGGGGAGAAGAAATATTTTAAAGCAAAAAATATTCAGTTCATTTCAAAACACTGAATTTTCTGATGCATTTTTTTGTTTGGAAAATGAACCTTTCCTAATAATCACCCCTCACCCTGAATTTGATAAACTTTCAAATGTCATCTTCCAATGGTTCCTAAGCAAGTATGATCCTCTAGATCTTTTTAAGATTTTATTTTTTTTAAGTCATCTCTATACCCAATGTGGGGCACGAACTTACAACCCCGAGATCAAGAGTCACATTCTACCAACTGAGCCAGCCAGGCACCCCCTTTTTTAAAAATTCTAACCAAGCATAAGAACATGAGATGTACTATTTACCTTTGTTATAAATAACCAGTAGACAACCTTTGGTTTTCATGATGCTAAAGTGAGAAAAATAAATAAACAAAACCAAGCAGGG